TACCCTCCAGCTCCCACCCCAGCTCAGATCCTATGACTGGTAGGAAATGGGAACATCTTCTCTGGGGAATCTGACGAGTCCAAGATAAGAGATCTAAAGATGGTCACAGCTGGGGTTCTGCTTGCAATAGGTCCAGCCAGATCAACAGCAATGAAGATGACGGGGCCCTCCCATGCCCACAGAGCTTCCGGTCTACTCTTTGGCAGCCTGCTCTCAAGGAAGAGGAGGTGGTCAAGGGTAATCAGGCATATGAGATAAACATCTTACAAGTGCACCACTCCCAAAAGAAAACCAAGGAAACAAACAGACATAATAAAAAAAAGGAACCTGGAGGGAGTGCAGACGATGCAGGGAGAAGATAAAATAACTAATTAAAAAGAAGAGATGCAGTTTAAAAAGGAACACTCAAAGAACATCAAAGAGCTTTTGGAAACTAAAAATATGATAGCAGAAATGAACAATTTTAACTGGAAAGTTTGGAGGAGGAAGACACAGCAAAAAAAAAAAAAAAAAAAAAAAAAAAAAAAAACCCAAAGGAAAAAAAGACAGAAAAGGAAAAAGGAGAGAAAAGCTAAGGAAATTAGAGGACACACATAGGAGGTCCAACATTCAACTAATCAGGGCTCCAGAAGGAAAGAATAAAGAAAGTGGCAGAGAAGAAATCATTTAAGAAATAACTCAAGAAAATTTCCCAGAATGGGTGGCCCAGTGCCAAGGCCACCCCTAACACTTGTAGGGTCTGGGGTTGGAGTATAAATGGAAGCCAAAATGCCATTTGTCTACATTTTTTAAAGTTATAAATGAAGCTAACAAACTAATAAGTAACATATATTCTATCCTCCTACCTTGACAAATATACCTTCAGAACCACCCGGAAGGCCGGGTTCTGACACAGAATGCTCAGGCTCTTTGTTCTGCTCCAGAACGTGGAGGTGTTGGCAGAGCTGCATTCTCACCTGAAGGATCTGGGGAAGAATCCACTTCCAAGCTCTCCAGGATAATTGGTAGAATCAGTCCCTTGTTGTAGAACTGAGGACCCCATTGTCTTGCTGGCTGTTGTTAGTTCCCAGGACCACTCTTAGGTCTTTGCCCTGTGTCCCCTTCCATTTTGTCAACAGATAACATCCCTAAAGGGAAACTCTCTCTACTCACAACACTTCTGACACCAAACCTGTGGGTTTTCCACACCAAGAGATTCTCCAGTTCTCTGTGGACCCTAAGTGGGTGTCCTACAATTTAATTCAATTCTAACACTACCCAGAGTTAGTGCAGACCCCACAGGTTAAGGGCTCAGTCCCACAAGGCTGCCCCCCATTTCGGATGCCAAGTGCAATTAGTGGGTCCCCAGATTACCCTCACTTCTGTCTGACTTGTCTACAAATTGGGGGTTCCCATGACCCTCCATTCTTGGGTTGGAGGACTTGCTATAATGGCTCACAGAACTCACCAAAACACTTTATTATTATCAGTTTATTATAAAGGGTAATATAAAGGATACAAATGAACAGCCCAGATGAAGAGGCACATAGGGTGAGGTGTGGAAGGGTCTGGAGTACAGGAGCTTCTGCCCTCATGGAGTATGGGGTGCACCACCCTCCCAGCACATGGATGCACTCACCAACCTGGAAGTTCTCCAAACCCCTTCATCTAGATTCGTTATGGAGGTCTCCCTACGGAGGCATGATTGATTAAATCATTGGCCATTGGTGATTAACTATATCCTCTGCCCCTCTTCCCTCCCCAAAAGGTCATGGGGGTGAGGCTGAAAAGTTCCAACACTCTGACCACATGCTTGGTTCTTCTGGTGACCAGCCCCCATCCCGAACTATCTAGGGGCCCACCTAGAGTCACCCCATTAGCATAACTCAGGTATAGTTGAAAGGGGCTTATTATGAATTACAACAGATGATCCTCTCACCTTATCACTCAGGAAATTACAAGGGTTTCGGAGCTCTGTGCCAGGAATTGAGAAGGAAGACCAAATATATAATTCTTATTATATCACAATATCCCAGTCTCTCATATTGAATCCCTTTCACTCTTCAAATCTCTCTGACTTCCTCTTCTACCAGGGACTAGAGAAAAACTCTGCTTGGAAAGAGCTCATGTGATTAGGTCAGGCCCACCTGGGAATCTCCATCTTAAGGTCAACTGATTAGGAACCTTAATCACACCTGCAACATCCCTTTCGCTGTATAATATAACATAATCACAGAGTGACATCTCATCATAGTCACAGGTTCTGCCCCGACTCAAGGGAAGGAGATTATACAAGGACCAGGATCATTGGGGCCAATCTTAAAATGCTGCTGTCACAATGAGGGTGAAAGGAAATCTCAGGGTGGCTGCTACACGGCAGACCTCGAGGGCAGCCAGCCTGGCTGGAGAAGCCAGAGGACACTGCGGGAGATTTCTTCAAGATGAAATTGACTTTAAAAAATACGTTTGAACATATTTAGAGGAGATTTTGTTCCTAACTGGGAGAGAGTTTGAGGTCGTAGATAAAACCAAAGAAAACTAAGTCAAAACTAAAGAAAACAGAAAACTAGACAATTAACAACTTCCTGGAAAATGAAATGTTGCTCTGGAAAGGAAAAGAAATTATAGCATCTACATGGCTCAGAGGTTTGACTCGTGCTACGTAGTGGAAATAATGTAAAACCCAAACATTGATTAACCAAAACCCCATATATCTAATTTTGGAGGATAAGGGCAGAGGAGGCACATGCAAGGGAGAATTTGTGTTGGAGGAGGTGGGTGAGAGGTGAAAAGCTCATCTTCCGCCATAGAAAGTGCCTCTATTTTAAAAGTGAGGAAGAAGGAACATGTGCACATTGTTTAGCAACAGCGAGGTAAATAGTGGGGGGAAAACTCAAAGAGTAAAACTGAGGTCTGTGGACAGAGAATGATCTTTTTTTGTAACTAGTCTTGTAGAATTTCTTTACTCTTAATGTTCATGTACATCTTTGATAAAAATAAAAACTTAACTTAAAGAGGGAAAATTTTAGAAAACTGACATGCCCAAGCCTCTGAACTCAGCTCTCCTCTCTTATTACCTAGATAACCTTAACTACCTGTGGCCTCAACTCGCTTACATGCTGGTGACTCCCAAATCCGCATCTTTCTCCCAAGGTCTACACCTGTGCGACCAAATGCCTGCTGGACACCTCCACCTGGCTGACCCACAGCGCCTTCAACTCAACTTGTCCACCCTGCCCATTTTCCCTGGCTCCCAACCTGCTCCCAAACCTGCACCTGTGTTTCTTGGCTGAGTGCATCTGCCCAAGTGTTGAAGTCAGAGACATGGCAGGGTCCTAGTCCTTCCCCCACACCCCACATCGAATCACCTTTATCTCCAGCCCTTTTCCCAATATCAGGATCTCACGTCTAATCCGGACACTTACAGCAGTCTCTAAAGTTGTCTGCTGCCTCATCTTTAAAGCTCCAGTTCATCCTACGCAACACTTCCAGAAAGATCCTTCAAACTGAAAATAAATAAATAAAAATTGTGGGTTTAGGAGTCCTCAGGCTCTTCTCGTTGCCTGCAGGATAAGATCTAAAATCTTAAGCACGGAACGCAAGGCCCCGTCTACCTGTCTTCTGACATTCTTGACAATCCTTCCCCATGCACAAGCTGTGCACCAGTCTGCCACACCGCCAGCAGCTCCCATCCTCCGTCCCCCCCAGCCACGCCTTCCCTCCTCGCATCTTTGCACACACAGGAGGTGCCCTTCCCCCGCCCCACGTGCCCAACAAATTCCTGCTCTTCCTCGAAGGTTTAAGGTGGCGTCTGCTCCCGGGTGAGACGAATCCCACAGGGAGAGCCAGGCTGCCAAGCCTCTGCACCTGCCTTGAGTCCACCGCCCCTGGAGTCCACTGCAGCCATCATATTGATTGCCCTCCTCTCTTGCAGCACCCGAGGCTTCTTCAAGTCAGAGAAAGTGTCTCATTGTGAAGCCTGACAGTTAGAAGATGCTTACTGAACCAGTCACTAAACAGATGTTGTGTTTGGGAGACTCTTATTCATTAGGATTCTTTTAGTTCCAAGTGACAGAAACAGAAGGGAAGTTATGGACTCACGTAAGCTGAAAAGTCTAGGCAGGGCTGGCTTCAGGAGCCGGCGACCTGTACTCAGAAGGGCCCCATGCTTGGGGCGGTGGTCTGCTGTCACCATCTTGCAATTCTTAATAACGTCTTCGAACTTGTGTTTTCTAAGTGAAGTCTGGTAGGACAACAGAACACGCTGGTGGTTCGAGGAGTATGTGTAACGTGCATGTCTGCGGTTCCTTGATGCCCATTCACACAGAGCATGGAGATGTCTCATGAGCACAGAGTTCTGGGGACCCATGATGTGTGGGAGTTCAGCAAGACTCAAAGTGAGGACTAGGTAAGTGTTTACATCTATGGCTGAGTAATTGGGAGGCACTGATACCCCCAAGAGCCATACTTTACACGCAAACCACACCTTGCTTCAAACGCAGAAAGAAGGCAATGGTGTTCAAAGAAATAGACCAACCAAGGAATCCTATTCTACCTTCTTACTTGCACATCGCTGCATCAGCCAAGCAATTACGCCGAAAATGATGAGGTAGAAGGAAAGGGAAAGACAGCGCCACCCGTGGTTCCTCTTCCTCTCCATCCTTCCTTACGCATCAGTGAGCTTCAGGTCGAGAGTGTTGATAGAAGATGTTCCTATCAAGAAGTGACGTAAAAACAGTTGTTTTGTGCGGTATTTCTACTGCTCTGGTAAGAACAAAATGTATATGCATGTGCTATGCTATGGAATACAAATTGTGTCATTTCGGTAATCCCACATATGAGTTAAATGCTCTCATATTTGCACTTAAAACTGTTATTTCACAATGTAAAGATGAACAGCAAAATTCATACTCACAGTTTTCTAATTTAATTTCTCTTGACTTAGAATGACATCCAATAGCAAATAAAAACATACCATGAGAAGTCGAGAGAGAGAGAGACCATGGAAGAGAGAAAAAAAGTTTCATATTTGAGTACATTTAATGGCACTTTGCCCCTGCTTTTGGAACAATGGGCCCCACAAATGATGTAGCCAGGCCTGATCCATGAGTAGGTCTGGCTTTAGATACCCCAGGCTTCAGGATTTCAAATGATACAATCAAAACTTGGCTTCTCTCTGTCCTTCAGCCTGGCCCTCCTTGTGTTGGCTTTGGTCTCAGGTCTCATGTGGTGGCAAGACAGAAGCAGTGGCTCCAACACTGGCAGCTGAACTCACTTTCCTAGAAGCCACAGAAAAAGAAAAACTCCTTGAGTTCTGATGGGCCCTGTGCCCTTCCTGAATCCATCACTCCTATTGGGGGATGTAATACCTGGATGGGCTTCATCCTGATTTACTTACTCAGCCTCGTCTGAGCTGAGGCTGGGGGAGGGTGAATCTGGAAAGGAAAATCAAAGAACAGTGACCAGAGATGAGTAAAGGGGTCCAAGTCGGATGACACTGCTATCATCTATCTCTTCTTGGATGCCCAATAGCCACACACGCCCTCTCCTTACGCACCCTCTTTTCTCACTACAGCTACGAAGATGCATTTGCCTATACACATAAAATGCCTTTACTCTCTCCCCCAGCGAAGACAACTCAAGGTTTATCGAGTCACAGTATCCCGCTCTGGGAGATGTGCTGTCCTTTCTGCTAGGTCTGGGACATGGGTCCTCATGGTCTGGCCACCTATGGCTGAACGATGAATTTGACCAACCCCAGCACTTGAATAGAGTATTCTAACACCATCCAAAATAACTCTGACTTGGAGAGGAGAGATTGGAAAAAAGTGGTCATCAGTCCATGGCATATACATTCTGACGTCCAGAATGGCAAGAAATTCTTGCCCTGACAGAGGAGCAAGTGCCCTAGTCTGTTGGTCTGCCCTCACCAGCCTGTTCTGCCCTCTGCAAGGATCTACCACCAGCTTTGTTCTCTCAGACCCCAGGTCGTGTGGTCCATTGTGGAAACCTCTGAGTTGGGTAATGGGGAGAATATCCCTTCTGGATCCTGCACATTTTCAACAGACCACTTCTTATTGGCATCAAAGAGATCACAGAGTATGAATAATTGTTTACTTTCCTTTGCCAGATTTGGGGGTTTTCTGGCAACACAGACCCTGAAGGCCCAGCTCAGCATTCTATATACTTGTCTCCTGCCGCTTCCACAGGCTAGAGTAACTGAAGTCAGAGACTTGGGCAAGTCAGGGTCTCTGGATGTGAAAGGTGGCCTGGGAATTTCTGTTTCCTAGCAACAGGCCTCCATGCTTGGCCTCTGCCCCAGAAGCTGTGTCATGGCTGCCCGCTGGACCAATGCCGCCATCTTGGCCACTGCCCACATCTGGGTTTCTGTTGTGGAGAAAGTAGAAACCGTAGCTTCAGAGGTGGGAGGCACTGCGATCTGCCCACAGGCCGCACGCCAGCTCTGTCTTTACGGAATTAAAGAGAGGCCTTGCACAGACCAGTGCTGAGATGGAACCATGAACTGAGGAGTCTGAGTCACTTAATCCTCTGCGCCTGGGTCAAAAATAGAGGGAAAACAAGACTAAACACAAATTCATGTATCACTTGCATAATTTTAGAAAATTACGTTTTTAAAAATTCATGAGAAAAACTCAATGACCAAAGGAACCATTGTCAGTTAAGGATTCAAACCTACTGAAGAATGTCATCAGTATTAAACACAGGCCAAAAGAGTCACCTGGAAATCTATAGGCCTGCAGTGGGTTGAGGAAGGTGCCAGGATGAGGCTGAGCTCTTTCAGCCACCACTGAAGAGCAGGTCCCATGGAGCCATTGGCAGAAGCCTAGGGGGCAGTGCTTTCTCTCATCTGATGTTGAGAGCAGATCACCATACAACACACAATAGGGACCGAACGTGTAGGAGAGTTGAGCTGTGAGCAAGCACATTTGCGACAAGAGTTTCTGGACACACATTTGGTGCCATGCATAATCCTCACTGGGTAACATGTCATCAGGCATCCGTGGCAAGTATATGTAATTAGACATACTGCTGTCAGTTGACCAAACACCTCCACGGTCGACCGCGGGGAGGGATCGGGGATAGAGAGCAGGAATTTGTGCTGAGGCCCCTGTCACTATAACCCCCCTGGCAGGGGACACCCATGATCCAGCTGATCCCAGAGCCTCATGCTGACAGTAGGGCATGTCCCTCTGGGCTGGGACAGGTACAAGGTGATGCTAGGTTCAAGATCGCATGTTGGATCAGGGCGGTCCCTTGAAGTGGGGGAGCCCTCTGTCTCTTGTTGGCCTAAAAGCGATCAGGGCTGCAGGGATATGCCACCCCCATCCCCCTTCAGGGCTGAAGGATCTAGGCCCCCAACTGCTGGGGATGCTCTTGGAATTGCCCTTGACAGAGGAGATTTGTCTCATCCAAGGTCATGTCCTCTTCCTGGGGTCTGCGGCCAAGTGATGGATGCAGGGGTAGAAGGCTCAGCTGCTCACCCCGACCCCACTCTGAAGAGCCATCCTGACACTGCAGCCCCACTTCTCCGTCTGCCCAGTCCTGCTTCCTTACCTTCCCCACAAGAGCACCCCTCATCAACGTCCCCCTCGCTCACCTCCATCTCAGAGCTGGCTTCCCAGGGAGCCCAGCCTCTCACAACAGCACTTGCATTAGTGTCCTGGGGCTGCTGTGACAAATTACTACAAACCAGTGGCTTAAAGCAACAGAAATTTACTCTCTCACAGGTCTAGGGGCCAGAAGTCTGAAATCAAAGTGTTGAGGGCCACGCTCCCTCCAGAGGCTCTAGGGGAGGATCCCTCCTTATTTCTTCCAGCTCCTGGTGGCTGCAGGCATCCCTTGCTTGTGGCCGCAGCACTCCAAGCCCTACCTCCATCTTCACATGGCCATCTCCCTGTGTGTCTCAAATCTCCCCCTCCTTTCTTATAAGGACACTCGTCATCAGATGTAGGGCCCACCCTGATAATCCAGGATGATCTCATCTTGAGATCTTTACCTTAATTACATCTGCAGAGATCCCTATTCCAAATAAGGTCACATTCTGAGATTCCGGGTGGACATACCTTTGGGGGCCACAATTGAACCCACTGCAGCAGCCCAGGCTTCCCTTTCTATGGCAACAGTCAGAGCACACTGTGAGCTCCTGGGAGGGCAGACATCTCTGCTGCATTTGTCTCTGGGCCTCCAGGGCCCCTCCGAAGGGAAGCCAGCATGAATAGCCCCACTGGCCCTGCCCTGTAAAGGTGGTGCTCAGAGCAGCACAGAGCATGTGAGGGAGGCACAGACCCCATCCCCACGCCAGCCCCCGAAACTGCAGCCTCTGGGAAAGCGTTTCCCATCTGTGGCTACCACTCAGCCCAGGTGAGCTGGGGAGGTCAATAGTGGTCCGATGAGAGAGAGGAGGCGTGACAGTTTGGACTTCTCTTGAAACTTCCCGTCGAGGGTAAGGAAGAACTGTTTTTCAGACAAGCTGTCACGGTTAAAGCTCAGAATGCTTTCGTGGGGCCCAAGCTAGTCTCAGGGACCCCTCCCAGTAATGCGGCCCTGAGATTTCCAGCTGGGAGACTGTGCCAGGTGGCACCAGGCTTCACTGGTAAGTCCTACCATTTTTCATGACGTGGGGAATGCGCTATTTGAAGGAACTGTTCGGCACACCTCTTGCGGTGGTCTTTTTTGTCCATCGTATTTTGCTATCTTAGAATGGGGCCTCATTGGGGCCAGTATTTGGATTCTGGCTGTTCTGCTCTGCTTCGGGGAGCCCAGGATGCTCGGAAGGCAACACGGAGCCAAGATGGGAGGCACCACCAGTGGCCTCTTGACACTATTCCCTGCAGGGAAGCCAAACGATGTGTCCCGGGATGAAGGCCACTGGAGGTGAAATACTGGGATCTCTAAAGGCGGTAACTGAGGGGGACAAACCCCTTCAGAGAGGACAAGGGATGACTGTTGAGAGTGAGATGTGATCTGGCACGTGGGGCGCGGGCGTCTAGTAATGAGTGGCTCCCCAGAAAACCTTTGTTCTTACAAATGCTGAGGATGTGAGGTCAGTGGCATGGTGCTCTCCCTCATCTCCCCACAGCCCCTCTCTCCCCTCTGTGATGTCCAATGGTATCGGGGGCGCCCTGGAAGACCCGTGAATGAGTCTGAGTCCCAGCCCGGAACCTGCATCTCCCTGCCTGTCAGCTAAGGCCATTCTTGCCATCTCCTCCCAGGGTTGTCATGAGGTCCGGATGAGGGGATGGAGCCGGGGCGAGCGGGGGTCAGCAGCAAGAAGCTGAGCTTTGGACTCGGGCAGGGCTGGGCGGTTCATCTGCAGGCTTTGACACCCTCTAGCAGGGCAGCTTTGGGCAAGTTGGGTTCCCAGAGCCTCCATTTCCTCTCGATAGGACATTGGGAGTATCAGGGGAGCAGAGCGAAGCTCACTGAATGGTGGTCGTCACGATGGTGCAGAGAAATTAGCTCAGTGCCTGGCACACAGTGGGAGCTCTGTGTGGGCTCTTTCCCTCCTGGTGGGCCACTGGCCTCTGGATGGCACAGGGGGACTCCGTGGGAGCAGGGATGTGACTGTCTTCATGTCTTGGGGTGGGTGGCCATAGGGTGCTGCAGGGTGCCCAAGTGGGGCTGGGAATCCGTGAGGGGCGGCTGATCATCACCTCGCTGCACGTTTATGGTTTTACTCACTTGGATGATTGATGTTTGAGGATGGGTGTTTAGTGACTCGCCTAAGGCCAGCCCCAGCTGAAAGCACCGAGTCCTGTCTACTGCAGGTTCTAAATAAGGGATACAATCATGTTTGGGGCACATGACTCATGACACACAGAAGCTCTTAAAATGCAGCATAAGTGGCTTTGTGCGTTCATACATCCACGCACAGATGTGTGGACTGTCTGACAGCTTCATCTCTGAGATAAATAGTAAATGCTTGGTGGCAAATGCAGATGAGCAGGGAATGCAGACGTCTCGCTCTGTTACGTTACACGGTAAGCCTCGGCACCCCAAATGCAGGCTGGCGGGCTGGGTTGCTGCAGGGATCAGGTGAGAGCAGAGCCCTGTTTCCTTCCCCTCGGGGAGTTAGACGCACTGGAGGTTTGACTTCTCTGTAGGAAGGGGAGCCAGGACCAGCATCCAGAACTTCCACGTCCTCAGTCACACTCTCCTGCTACCTAGTGGCCTCTTCTTTCTCTTTACGTCCTTCGGTTCCTCTTGCCACTCTCTCTGTTCCCTCCACATGTTCTGGCATGTGTCTAGCCATGAACTTTGATGGGTACCTCTGTTCCCCCTGACCCCCAACTAGTCCACAGGTAAACCATGACATACACGATCTCCCATGGGGAACAACAGACTTCACCTGCTTAGATGGTGACATGCTCCTTGGAGTGTAGAAACGATTCCAGAGCAGGCTCCATCAAAACGTTTCTGTGGCCAGCACCGTGACACCAAGCGTACGAAATAGGGCCATTCTTCTGAATGGTGACGATCAATTTGGACTGCTGATGCCCACGGAGGGCTTACTGTGTACCAAGACAGCCACGTGCCTTCCACACATTATCTTGTCTAATCTCAACAGGACTGGGAAGCAGATGCTATTATTATTCCTGGTGTACAAATGGATCGCAGAGCTTGCAAACTCAATCAAGGAGAGGCTCAGCTGACCTGAAGTCAGGGCACTTGATTCCGTGGAGCAGAGAGGCAGCTCTTCACGGATGGACGCGGATTCCCCCACAGCGTGAATCTGCCTTTAATTGCATAGCTGGGAGTGATCAGACAAGTTCTATCGCATGCCTCCACCGCAATCGCCTTCGGCTCTGGGAGACTCCACCAGCACCTCCTGGCGCTGGACGGAGGGCAGGGAAAGGAAGACAGAGGCCGCCTCTGGTCCCCTCTTCGCAGCCCCACTCTGCCGAGCGCTGGAGATCCACGCAGTGGGTTGGCCTTCCAGGCCTTGAGCCAGCCCTGACCCAGGCAGCACGCTGCTAGGTAGCATCTGGACTCGTGTTTGTGTCTGAAGCCCGGCGGGGACTCTGCTGCAAACTCCCCCGCCCAAGTAGGGAGATCCTAGTCTTGGCCCCAGGCTGGGCCCCTGGCTGGACTCGCTCATTTTTGGAAACATAAGCTTGAGCTGAGGGGTTGGCCCTACGGGAAGCTAGCCGCAGAGGCCTGGGAACTTCTGGAAAATAACTCACTTGAGGAAGGGAGGAGCCAGGCCCAGCGAGCTGACTCTGTGACAGGGGGCTTTGTGGAGTGGCCTGGTACCCGGAGACTCATGTGTGGTACCCAGATAGCTAGGGAGAGAGAGGGTGTGTGTGCCGCAAATACAAATAATGGGGCTGATTGACGTAAAAAACAGGGCACACGCACTGCTCTGGCTGTCAGAGCAGCCACCGGGCCCAGGGGGAGCACACCAGGGCTGGCCATGCAGTGGCAGCTGACTTCTTGAGCGCGCTCAGACATGGCCGTCCTCCCAAGGTCGCAGTGAGGCCTGTAGACCCAGTAGTGCGCCTACTGGCCACGCGGCGACCACCTCTCTCAGCAGCAGGGCATCTGAGGCAGCTTTCAGGCTCCGGAGACCTGGGTTCTAATCTTGCTCCTGCCACTGCCCTGCTGTGTGACGTGGGGCAAGTTCATCAAAGACTCTCGGCCTGGGATGGGAATGCTGCTGCCCACTGGGGTGGTTTTAAAATACGTCTGCAAATTCTTGGATGCTCCTCCCTTCAAGAGGTGGGGCCTGGTTTCCCTCTCCTTAACTGTGGGCCAGACTTAGTGACTCACTTCCAGCTAATAGGATAAAGCAGCAGCGATGGCATGTGCCCTCGGAGACCGGGTCATAAAGGGCACTGTGGCTTCCTGCCTGTGCCCTCTCTTGCTCCTGGATCTCTCGCTCTAGGGGAAACCAGCTGCCATGTCATGAAGAGAGGCCCACTGGTGAAGAACTGAGCCTCCAGCCAAGAGCCATGTGAGGGCGCCATCTTCGAACTGGATCTTCCAGCCCCAGCCAACCTCTCGGCCACAAATTCATGAGACAGCCTGAACGAGAACCACCTAGGCAAGCTGCTCCCGAAGTCCTGACCCATGGAAACTGTGAGATAAGAAATGTTTGTTGTTTTAATCCAGTAAATTTGGGGGTAATTTGTCACACAGCAATAGATAACTGACACATACACCTGTCTCAGGTGTTTGTCAGGATTCACTGGGACAACATACACAAAGGGCAAGAGTCTGGCAGATGCTGTCTGATTAACTTCTTTCGACTCAGAGGTCTCAGTGGTCCCCTCCCCATGGGGTGCTAAGCTTTGCACTGTGGGTTATGCCCATTCAGGGACCGGCCCTCCAGTCAGTTTCCTGGCTCCTTCCCTTTCCCCCCAGCACGCCTCCTGGCCTTGCCCACCAGAGACACTGTCACACTGTGGGGGCCCACTCTCTCTTTTATCCAAAGCATCAAAGAAATTGGTTAGCATCGGTTTAGTCCACATCCGGCAGCAATATTGTGTACCGACCTCTCCTCCAGGGTCCCCTTCTGCACAGCAGTACAGCTGGGATGGACTGTAAACCAGTGCTCACCACTTCTCGCTCAAAACCCTCCGGTGGGTTTTACACTTAGAGTAAAAATCCAACCTGTTACCACGGCTACAGGACTCACGATAGCTCCACTCCACCCCCTCTGCATGACTGTTTATGATGCCCCAGGCTCCCCACTTCCTTGTGCCCCTCGGACATGCCAAACCTCCTCCCTTTTGTTTCTTCCACGCAGAACATTCTCCTGCCAGACCTTCACAAGGCTGCGGCCTTCCCATTATTTTGAGCTCCACTCACCGTCAGCTCCTTGGAACCCCACCCCACCTCAGGTCCTCTCCACCACATTATCTTATTTTATTCTTTTTATCACCAGCTAAAATGACCTGTCAGCTTGTTGGTTCACTGAAGCCCATGCTGGTGTGGCCACTCCTGGGGAGCAGAGCTTTGCTGTGCTGACTCCAGGGGATAGCACCGTGCTGGGTACCCACGAGCCACAATGTTTGTGGGCCACATGGCTTTTTGAATATCAATCAAATTCTCTTTTGAAAGCTTTGGAGGCAGCTTTTTTCATGAGGAACTCTCTGGAAAATCCTTCCACAAAGGGAATAAATCACCTTCAGACTTTCCAACAGCGAGTCATGTCTGAATTATAATCTTCTTAATCCAGGAAGGTTCTTGTCAGAGATTCTGAAACACCAGTGTCTGAGGGGAGAGAAATCCTTCTCTGATTTGATTCCAGGGAACGTACATGAACTGGAATATGCTGGTATTTTTTTTTTTTGAGGAAGATTAGCCCTGAGCTAACATCTACCGTCAATCCTCCTCAGACTGGCCCTGAGCTAACATCCATGCCCATCTTCCTCTACTTTATATGTGGGATGCCTGCCACAGCATGGCTTGACAAGCAGTGAGTAGGTCCACACCCAGGACCAAACCTGCAAGATCCGGGCCACTGAGGCGGAACGTGAGAACTTACCCTCTGCGCCACCAGACCAGCCCCTATGCTGATTTTTTCCCCTTGGGTGGGTTTTCATGTAGGGTCTGCCTGGCCAGCAGTCCCTCTGTGGAGCAGGGGTCCGAGAGCTGCATTGCCCTATGATACACACCTCCTCCCCACCTACCAGGAGGGCAGGGACAGAGCAAGGGGCAACACGAAGAAGCCAGAACATTCTGAGGTCCAGGAGATTGGAAGAAGGAAGAGAGAAAGGAGCAGGGACACCCAGCCTGGGGCTGAGTGGAACTGGGCTTGGAGAGAAGACCAGCTACAATGTCATCCTCTAGTGCGGGGGCCAGCAGGGGAGGTGGCCACAGCCTCCAGGGCCAACTGGGAGACAACTTAGCTTGTTCCTGTTTCCAGGACCTGGGGAGCTGTGCAGGCTCACAGAGAACAGTGATGCTAACTGGTCTCCTTGCTCCTCCTGGCACCCGAACACCAACAGAGTCATCTACAAATAGGACCGCATCAGTCCTCTGCTTGAGGTGCTGCCCTTGTTCTCAAGACACGGACCCATCTCCACACTGAGTCTCCACTCACCTCCCACAGCCCCCGCTGCTCACTGCACTCACTGTTGCTGACCTTTGCCTGAGCCCTGAGGCTGATCCCGCCAGGCCCTCCTGACCAGTCTGATCCCTCCCCGTTCCCCGTCTCCCAATCCCCCTGTCAGGTGGAGGGCACAACACTGCAATGCTCTCAGCTTGAATATGTGTGATTGCTACCCATCTCCCTCTGCAGCAGAGTCCCTGAGAGCAGGAACTGCCTGTCCTACTCACACGACACCCAGAGGGGACGCCCAGGGGAGTCCAGGCACTCAGCAGCTGCTCAGAACATGCTTACTGAAAGAAAGAAAGAATACGAAGCTCTAAGGGCCAAAGAGGCATCATTGGAAACACAATGAAAATAGTGGTCGGGGCTGGACCCCTGGGTGAAGGGAGTTCAGGTGAATCCTTAGCTGTGTCTCCTCGTGGGCAGATGTGTGCAGAGACGCAGATGGAGCAGGTGTCCTGCTGGCTGGCAGCAAGGGATGGACCAGCTTGGGGAACCCGGGACTCGGTGTCAGGCTGAGACCCCAGCCCCGCCTCCCCCTCCTCCCTTCACACAGACGGCATGTGGGTGGGGAAGGATGCCCCAGCTGTGGAAGGAGAGAAGGGCCCAGCATGGTCTGGGGAAGTCATGGCACTTTGGTGTCCCCTGGCTTAGCCTGGAGGAGGGGAAGAGCTGAGGAATAGAGGGAACAATCAGGAGAGAATGCTGTGACCCGAAAGGTACCCAGGAAAGTGGCCGAGCGAAGTTGCTTGGGCTTGTGGCTTTCTGGCGGCATTTTGTGTGGCTAAGCACAGGGCATCCTATGTGTCCCCACTTCTGGGGGTGGAACCAGGGTGGGAGCAGCAGCTTCAGTTAAGAGGCCCAAGGTCACTGCTGCAGCCAGGGGAGCTGTGGGGCCAGTCCAGGGAGTCAGGACGCATGGGGCCAGCCGCACCTGCTACGGAGGGAACAGACGGGACCTGAGTGCCTCAAGCCTGGGCAGGACCAAGCAGAAAGGACTCTGCTGCAGCGGAGGGACAGGGTTCTGGAGACTCCCTCTGGGCCAGGCATGTCCTTTACTTGCTGGACTTAGGGAGGTCCAGGGGTCCCAGGGGAGGGACAGGGTGGCAGGAAGGCCATGGAAGCATTCTGATTCTAACGCCTGGCCCAGCCCTGCTGGTTTGTGCCAGCTGAAGTCAGCCTGGCAGGTCTGCCCTGTCTCCCACCTGGCCGCACCTTCTCCCTGTCCAGCAATCCCTGGAAGATACGGTGCTCCCCGGGGCTTTGGCGTCAGTGTTTGTTCTTCCTAGGACTTCCGTGACCCTGAAAACCCGTCCTCATCCTTCCGAGGTCAGCTCAGCCGGAACCATCCTCAGGGGGCCTTCCTGACCCCGAGGCTGGTCCCAGTCCTTTGCTCCTTGCCACTCATCCTTCCCAGGGCCTGACTGCTGGCACATATCTCCGTTGGTATTTCCACAGGGATGGAGTTTCCCACTAAACTCAGTCTAGAGCTCGGGACCAGAACGATTTTTGCTTACCACTCTGTCATCAACATCTCATTAAATATTTGATGAATAGACGAGCAAATGAATGAGTGGACTAAAAACACCCACCCTCTTGTGGATCCCAGCCCCCGCTCCTTGGCTATGAATCAGATAGGGCGCACCACTCATGTGGTCAGGAAAATGTGGGTTCTGCTAGGATGCTGGGATCTTAGGGGTCCTCCCCCAGCGTAGCAAAGAGAGCCCACATGGGCTGGTTGTGAGGGACACAAGATCCTGCCAGAGAATATGAGGACAAAGTTGCAACCCTTTGAAGTCTGGGCTGAACGCAGTGGAAGGTTGCCCAGGACGTGCACTGCTGCTCTGAGGGGTCTTTTTCAGCACAGGCATCTCCTCCCGTGGTTCCCCTTTGAGCACCTGTCTTGCAGCACGTGGGCGAGATCCTGATCTTTGAAATATCGTTGACATCGCCATGGACCAAACCAACAACCCGCTATTCAATTTCTCTCTCCATTCTGTTTGACTATTCTGCCGGGACTTTTTCTCCCATCTAGAAATATTTAACGTTTCCAAACTGGCTGGAAAGGTGGTAAAACAAACAAAAAGAGTGAAAAGAGATTTAATTAAAAGGCATGGGCTAAGTCAAAAGGTTGTGACATGTCATCCTTTCTGTAGCACCACACGAAGGGTAGAGGGTGACGGAGAGACAGAGGTCTTCCCTCACTCAATTCTTCGGGTGCCTAACTGCAAAGGTTTCGGTCAGGTGTTTCCCAGGCTGGACTTACCGGGAGCTGAAAGCAATTCTTTTGGGGGTAGAACGCACACGCTCTGACGTCCCCTCTTCTGAACTATCTGCCATGGGGCATCCTCACCGGCTTGTGATGGTGCCCTGCCACACTCACAGCCCTGGGCAGCCACCAGGTCCACGTGCTGCTGATCATCACACAGGAAATCAACTTGCTGGCCGACCCCCCGCATGCATACCCAGGGAGCGTTGCCCAGAACTTGGAGAGGGCAGGAGAAAGGCAGCTGCAGAACTAGGAGAACCTGTTCTGCCGCGGGAGAGGCTGTGCGCAGCAAGGAGCCTTGCTCAACGGAGGCCAACTGGCAGGAGGAGGCTTCAGGGGAGGATTTAAATTTTCTCTGCTAATCTGGAATGGTCCCATTTCTCTCTGGCAGGGAGATTTTTAAAAACCGTATACAAATTGCGTAAGCTGCTCTTATTTAATAGGGAAAAAGAGGGAAGAAATGATGTGAATGACTCCAAGTGTTAAAGAAGAACCTGTGAAACCTGCCCCTTAATGGGAAACTGAAATGGAGAGAAAATTCTAAGAAAGGTGGAATTAAGTGTTTGCCAGTTGGTGACACGGGTTTGGAAACATCTTTCTTTCTGCAGACAAGCTTAGTGGGTCCACTCCCATTGGGGTGGAGGAGCGTGATGCGGGGAAACTGAAGCAGAAACAGAAGTAAACACAAAGGCAGGACTGCTCTTCCAGGCAGGGCAAGAGACGGTGGCATCACATGTCCTCAGGGAACTGGACATCAGAGCCACAGTGAGATCCCGCTTCACACCCACTAGGGCGGCCATAATCGAAAACATAGGCGACAGCAACTGTCGGCAAGGATGTGGAGAAACTGGAATCTTAACACGCTGCTGGTGGGAATGAAAAATGGTGCAGCCACTTTGGAAGACAGTCTGGCAGTTCCCGAAAAGGTTAAAAATAGAGTTACCATATGACCCAGCAATTCCACTCCTAGGTGTATGCCCAAGAGAAACGAAAACCTGCGTCTACACAAAGACTTGCACACGAATGTTCACAGCAGCACTATTTGTAATAGCCCAGAGTGGAGACCACTCAAATGTCCCTCAGCTAGTGAACGGATAAGCAGGGTGTGGCCCTTCCACACAATGGAATGTTTTTCAGCCATAAGAAGGAATGAAGTACTGACACAGGCTGCAACGTGGAGGACCCTTGAACACATTCTGCCAAGTGAAAGAAGCTGGCCACAAAGGACCACATGTTGTGTGATTCCTTATATGAAATGTCCAGAACAGGCAAATCCATAGAAATGGAAAGTAGATGAGTGGCTGCCTAGAGTCAGGACTGGGGAAGGGGAGGATTAGGGAAATGATGGTGAAGGGGTGCGGTGTTTCTTTTTGGGGTGATGAAAATGTCCTGAAGTTGGTTGTGGGGATGATGCACAACTCTGCGAATATACTGAAAGCCACGGAACTGCGCACATGAATGCGTGGGCGGTGTGGTATGTGAACGATATCTCAGTAAAGCTGTTTAAACGAAAAGGATTTTGGCGGGCCTGGAAGTCTTTTCTCAGCCTGTGTGGAAGATCTCCTGTAATCCCTCCAGCCACCAGAGGTCTGTGAAAGGACTGACCTGAGACAGACAGGGTTCACAATAAAAGACTCTCTTATTATAATAAGTGCATAAGATAAGGGGGACGCATTCCACCTTGAGGCACCGACAGAATGTGAGGATCAGGAAAAAAACGGCACCCTGAAGATTCAGAATAAGAATCAACCCATCATGAACGAGTGCAGCAACCCGCAGCCCTGTAGGAGGGCACTGGCTTGCTGTACAGGCTCTGTCTGGTGGACTGCGTCTTCCCTGGGGCCCTCGAGGTCCCCGCCTTCCCTGTGTACTCGTTACACCGTCGCTGCACAGCAGGCCTCTGGCTCATGGGTGGGCTGAATGGAGGGTGTCTTCCTCAGGAGCTTTAAGATCCTTTAGGATGGAGATCTCTTGTTTATTTATCTTTGAATACTTGCTGTCTCTAAAACA